CGTGGCTGGGCTGCGGCGGGGCTGTGTGAACCGCTGTGCTGTCTGCTAACACCCCCCTTCACAATTTTCTAGGTTTATCCACGATGACACGGAGCAGTAACGCTTAACGATGGGTGACGTTCTAGCTTATGAAGCTGAGTTACTTGGACTAGTGAGAGAGGTTGGTTTTCTCTCTTTTTTTTTTTTTTTTTTTGGTTAAAATGAGCAAGGCAAAATTTCATAATGCTTGTGTTCAGAGCCAGGCGTTGTAACTGTGGTCTAAATTCTGGAGTTATTGAACTGGCCAAGTGTTTTCTACACAGCAGTGTGATACCTCAGCTTCCTCTGTTACTGTAAAGGCAGCATGTATAATCAAGGGGGAATATCATCCGTCTCAGTCAAAATGATTGTTGGGGTGAGAGGTTTCTTTGGGAGAGATGTAGGATGAGAGCATGTTGCGCTTTAGTTCCTCCATGAAAGTAACTGCAGGCCTCTGCTCTGATAGCACCCTTTCCAAAAGGGTGCCAAAAATCCTTTACCAATTCCTTCACCAGGCCTGCTGAACAGAAGAGCTGGAAAGAGGAGACGGACCCACGCATCGGGCTGGAGAGTATTATCCTTCATAGGAAGGGCCAGACTGACAAAATCTTGAATAGGTTACAGCTTGCTTCTGGGAAGGCAAAAACCAGCAGGGGAAGGCAAAAACCAGCAGGCTGCCTCTGGGATGGGTGTCCTGCTAACACCACAATTGCTTTGCAGTTGAAATGCAGCCACCTCTTGTTTCTTCTAAACTCTTAGGCAAAAGTAGTGAGTAAGTACAGACCATGGGGTGGAGAACTCACTTTGGAATTCCTGGAGGAATTTGCTCATGAAGAAAATGATTATCTAATGATTATCTGGTTATCTAAGCTGCATTTAGCTAACCCATCAGAATGTCTTCCATACGCCAAGTTTTGACCGCATTTTCCTTAAACAGTGTGCTGGTATGCCCCTCTGACAGTCACTACTTCTGTACTGCCTTTTGTTTTCTTTCTTTTTTTTTTTTTTTTTTTTAAAATGAGCAAGGCAAAATTTCATAATGCTTGTGTTCAGAGCCAGGCGTTGTAACTGTGGTCTAAATTCTGGAGTTATTGAACTGGCCAAGTGTTTGCTACACCCTGAAATCTTATTAACTCCTGTCATGCTCTGTAGATTCAAAGGGCTTAATGTCCGTTAAATGCCAGCCGTCAAACATCACATCACTCTAGAATGAGCTGTTGTTCATTGCAAATGAGGCTTTCATTAAAGGAACAGTTAAGTTGATTAGATCCACAGACAGCTTTGGGGCTAAGGTCCAACGTGTGATAACGGTGAGATCTTTAAAACATTGCTTAGCTGCCACCTCATTCCATGGGTGTATAAAATCATGGAGGCATATAAAAACCCTAGAGCTGACAAAGTCCAGGCTGAAGTCCCGAGACCACTGATCTCCATGGTTTAATGCCTAAGCAGGATTTTCCAGCTAGGCAGTCCTCTACCCATATTGCCCATAAGAGGTAATCAGAAGATATTCTGAAGTGTGAAATGGTCCTGTGAAAAAGACAGTGAGAGACAAATTTTCAAGGGCGGGTGCCTCTCTGGTAGTCTGTGCTTCAGCCTTCTGGATAAATTGGCTAAAATGGGATATTTATGATTTGGAACAAGAACACAAACTGTGATCTCTGCTGCTTGTTACTGCCTCATTCCTTTGATCGACACTGTGTTGGTAGCCTAGTTTAGGGCCCTAAGTGAACACCAAACCTACAGCCTAACCCCCCTGCCTTGTGTGCTTGTGTGACCCAACCTATTGCAGGGTTCCACAGATGCCGGTGCTGCGGAGGGGTGATCAGGAGCGGCAGTCAGCTGTCACTGTGCCCAGCTTTCACCAGGCTGTCTATTGAAAGCCTGGACAGTTAATTCCTGCCTAAAGAGTCAGGAATGGCAAATGGCAAAATCATACACAACTTAAGTCTTTTTGTGCATCTCAGAAAACAAGTCCAAAAAGAGGTTTAAGTACTTAATCACTATTATACTACTGTTTATGTTAACAGTGAAGAAAGTAAATGATTCCTGTTCTCTGTGGCAATGTTGGGCATCCAGATCAAGTTTGCAAAATGAAATGTGATGTCTTGCCTCAGCAACCAATAACTAAGACTCCTGAGATGGGGGGAGGCGGGGAAGTTGTGTGTAATATAGTGACTGTACATTGTGGGAGGAAGAGGCAGGCCTGTTTATCTCTTTCTCAGAAGAACAGTGCTTGATTAGTTGTTCATTAATTTGGCTTGCACAGCTTCAGACTAGTGACCTGGCTTAATATTCAAGTAGTCTGGTTGCTGCTGTGGAGATGAGAGTCATGCTTAAGAATTCTGCCCTCCGAGAACATTATTTGCAAGGAAGTTACTTACTTGTTTCTTCAACCAAGGTATAGCATTAATGGATTTTAGTTCTTTTTCTTCTTTGGTTGAATGAAATTACGGGCTAAATCGAGGGGCATCATTCTTTCAGGGAGGATGTGCTCGGTTGTCTGTACTATTCTCTAGGATGCAGGAGGAAATTTAGTTGAGAGACAGCATTTTCCTACCACATGAGGTGCCAGCTCTTGGTTTGTTGCTGTGCAGTCTTTGGCATTTATGGACCCTGCTACAGAGAAACTTTAAAGGACTTTGGCAATTCATGGGTCACTCATTGAAGCATTCATAATCTAAAAAAATATTGTTCCTATATGTTTTTGTCTTGTAGTATTTGGATTTTGCTGAATTTGAAGAAACACTGAAGGTATTTACAAAGGAATGTAAAATAAAAGGGAAGACACTACCTAAACCAGCAGGTGTTTCCTCAAGAGATTCAAAAGTTTTGCCTGTTCAGGTAATGCATCATTTATACTTACTTTGAATAATACTAAAAACAGTTAAAGGCCACTAACCACCGTGTGAATTATTACAGCAATGAGATTATCTGAACAGTCTGAACAGATTTTTGATTATTTGAAGAAGTCTGCTAGCAGTCTTCTTTCAGTGCAGGAACTTTCAAGTTTGTTTCTTTCTGCAGGACTCCAGTCCTTTTGAACCTGAGACAGTAGTTTTGGTTCACACTATTTTAGGTTTTTAGCTTACCATACTTTGATAAGACTGATTTTCATACACTGTAGGCATATATTTTTCCCTTATGGTAAAGGTGGGTCACTGGATTGACATGCTTGAAAATTTGGGCTTTACTTCTTGTATTGATGGTTGATTCAGGCTCTCAAAGATATTAAAGACAGGTGGAGAAAGGATATTTAGGTGGTCATTGAATGGTGAGAGATTTTGGATAAAACTTTTCATTCAAAGTGTTCAGATGGCACTTGAATTCTTCATTCACTAACCTACTGTTGAAAAAAAGTAGCTCCTCTGTGTGTGGTTTTTCACTGAATGCTTTTCCCCTTTGCAGAAAGATCTGCTTACAGCATTTGAAAATGGTGAGCAGAAAGTTTTCTTCCAGCTCTGGGAGGAGCACATTTCATCTTCAGTCCGGGACAATGAACCGGTTGCTCAGAAGCTGGAGTTCTATCTTCACATCCACTTTGCCACCTACCTCTTAAAACATTCTATGGGAAAGCCTGTAAGTTTAGTTCACAGTTTAAACTTCAAATTGCTTTTGTTTGTTTTACTTCATTTATTTGTCTTTAGTGTGGATGAAGATGCGATGTTTAGCAAGAAGAATTCCCAGAATGTGTATCCAGTTTTTGGGCCGCAGTTAGTGTTTTAGTTGAACAAGACCCCTTGTATTGTGAAATACAGAGATGGAATTTAGAATCATAGAATAGTTTGGGTTGGAACGGACTTTTAAAGGTCATCTAGTCCAACCCCCCTGCAATGAGCAGGGA